AAGAGTGTCCTTTTTCCAAGATCCTTTTACAAATACTGCCTTATTTCATCATAGAGGGTGATAGATATATTACACCGCTTTTATACACGAGGAGGAAACAGACACAGAGAAATTGCATCATCATCCTATTCATCAACTGAGCTGTTGTGCCAGTCAGGTACTGTGTTCAGTGTGGTAACATTTGTTACTGCAGTTAGTGCTTATAGCTCCATGAACCAAATAACCTATCATCCCTAGTTTACAAGTGAGCATCTGAGACTGAGAAAGTTAATAGTCACATTGCTAGTAAGAGGCAGTGCTGGTATTAGAACTGAGGTCAACTGGCGCCAGCACATAAAACCATTACCAGGTCACCTGTCTTTTTGTGAAAGACACAGGAGCTAGAAACGAGATGCCCCAACATTTGGTGACTCCTCCCATGCAATACCACTCTGGCTCTTTCTATTTATTTCATGAGAATGGCAGAGATTTTAGAATTTAAGGCTCCCTGAGGGTGTCTACCATCTTTCTAAATTCAGAAAATATATTCTGGTCAGGTCAAAGGTAAACCCAGAGCCGTAGATCTGGTAGTCAGTTCTTCTGAACATACCCATATCCTCTTGGGGACAGGAGGTGACTATAAACTCAGGCTCAGGAAGTAGAGCTTTCCTTTAATTTCTCCTGCAGGTAAAGCCGGAGACGGACGCTACTTACCATGGTGAAGCGTTCCCTGCAGCAGACCATGCAGGTGCTCTCACTCTCATCCGGTACCCACTGGTGCCTGGCAGGGGGCGTTGCTGGGGGCACAAACTCCAGTGGCGGCTGACTCTGTGGGAAGCTCCTCTCCCTCGGACTGGGGGAATGCACAATGGAGACACCTGGGAGTCAAAGCCAGAAGTCAGAGTAAAAGGTGATCAGTAGTCCAGCTAATAAACAAAGAAGGGATGAGAGAGTTAGAACTGTACCATTTTACAAACCCCTACTGATAGCATAGATCCAGTTACTGATCATCGATGGCTGACTGCAAAAAGAGCATTGTGCGTCTCCTGATGGAAGGCACACGGCCACCTACCAAATATACTAACTAAAAAATATTAAGCCTGAATCAAATCAAGCTTCTAGATCTATCTACCAGTGTACTGGAAAACACAGGGGACGGAGACCCAGATTGCCATGGGGTGACAATCAGCAAAATGCAGTGTGGGAAGCTCTAAAGGACAAACGACCTAGTTTCCTCCACAAATAAAAAGAGGTAGGGGAACCTATTGATTAAAACAGATTTAAGAGAGAGTTTAGCTGAATGCCATGTGTGGACATTATTTACATCTTGATTCTGGAAAGACCAATTCTAAAAAAAATCTTCATGAGACAACTGGGGAAATCTGAATAGTGACTGGATAGTTGATAATAATAAGGAATCATTAATCTGGTTTTAGGTATGAGAATGATGTTATGGTTTTGTTTTATAAATGTCCTTACCTTTTGGAGATATACACTGTTTTATTTATAAACAAAATGGTATGATATCTAGGATTTGTTTCAAAATAATCCAGTAGAGGGACAGGGGTAAAGATGAAACAAGAATGGTCATACTGACATGATAAATATTGCAGCTGGGTAATAGGTATGTGACACTTCATTACACTGGTCTCTCTACTTTCGTGTACTGGAAATTTTCTGTAATAAAAAGTTTAAAAAATTAAGTAAACCAAAGCTGCTCATATGCCTGTACATCTGAGCCCTTCTGTCAGGTCTGCTGATTATTGTGAAGCATGGCTAATTCTCAAAGCATGGCCACGAAATGCCACGGTCTTTGTTTTATGATATCTAAGGAGATTTCTTGTCAACTAGCAGAACGATGTTGGCAGGTCACAGAAAAAAAGAACTGGAAAACACAGTGACTCTTAGCAGCACCCAGAAGAAGAGGGGCTGTCGACCTCTCCCCAGAAGCCTGCTCTCCTAACTGTTGGCAAAACAAACACTTGCTGAGCTGCTTCTGAGTGTAAGGCCATTGGGCAAAAGTCAGGAGACTGGGAGAAGAGGGGTGGTGAAAAGGGGTGACCAAGACATGGCAGAGGCCTTCAAGGACCTTGCACCCTGTGTGGGTGACAGATATAAATAACTACCTGCAGGACAGGGTCAGAAGGAACATAAGGACTAAATAAGTCGATTCTCCTTGTTAGTGGATTCCGTATTTGTGAAGTTGCCTACTCGCTAAAATTTGTTTGTAACCTCAAAATCAATATTTGCGTTGCTTTTGCAGACATGCACAGAGTGGTGAATAATTTGAGTTGCCTGGTATACAGCTCCTCATCTGGGGTTGAACAAGGTAATGTTTTGCTTTCTTATCTCAGCTCTCATACAGAGATGCAGATGGTAGGGGACAGTGCAGCAGGGTAGTGTAAGAAGCTCCACTCCGGGGCTAGTTGGACAGGGTTTGAATCCCAAAGGCTCATTAGGCACTCATTAATGGGGTGGCTTCAGGCAGGTCACTTTAACACTCTGAACCTCTGAACCGCTTTTTCTCTTTTGTAAAATAAAGAAAATAGAATTTACTGGGATGAATTGTTTCCAATGTGAGATTATAATGTATGTGAAATGTGTGTGTGTGTGTGTGTGTGTGTGTGTGTGTGTGTGTGTGTGTGTATGCATGTTCACACATATAATCACACACATGCATGCATGTATTTTCCCTAGGAGCAATGGTTTAGTATTTGCTAATTCAGTGTTTGTGGAGCCTTCATAGATATACTACTGCAAATAATAAGAATCGATTGTGTGTTGAATTTTCTGGGATACAAAAAGCTGGAAAGAATCAAGAAAAACAATTAATCAGAATGTTGTGACTGGAAATGAAAAAAGAAGCAAAAGAATCAGAAAATCAGAGTCAGGCAAAATTGAACTGAAAAATGGGTAACTCTCAGAACCTGTCCTTACCAGGAGCAGCAACAGAAGAGAACTCCGCTGACGGTGACCTAGACAAGGTCTCGAGGTCTGAAGCCGGACTGACAAGTTCCTGGAGGTAAATCACAGGATCTGTAGGGAGGGAAAATGTTGACAGATTGTTCTATCATAAACATCCTTACTTGCCGTGCTAGGCATTTAGTTCAAAGCCCTGTTGGTTTCGCTGTCATCCCATGACCCTACTAGGTATGCAAAGAATGGCAGAGGTACTTCTAAGACGACAGCAAGCATGCTTCTTAAGCACCTCAATAAACAAACTATGTTAGGCACGTGAGGTAAATGAAGTAGACACTAGGATTTTACAAAATCAATCTAAAGATGCCCAGGGGGCAGTAGGAGACATTTAAATGGTGGTCCCGGAGAGTAGGGAGTAAGAAAAAAAAAGCTGGCTGGGAGCATCAGCCCCCATTTATTTCATTTTCTTCATTCTAGAAGAGGCTGAGTCAGTTCACACACTAGTGACATCTGATGTGATCCTGGGAATAGCACATACCCTCAGTACAAAATGATGGCACTTAAGAGCCCAGTGCACCAAGGCCAGACAGAGACCACCCCCAGCATGTTTTTTTGTTTTTATTTATTTTTGGCTGCTTTGGGTCTTTGTTGCTGCATGCGGGCTTTCTCTAGTTGCGGCGAGTGGGGGCTACTCTTCGTTGCAGTGCGCAGTCTTCTCATTGCGGCGGCTTCTCTTGTTGTGGAGCACGGGCTCTAGGCACGTGGGCTTCAGTAGTTGTGGCATGCGGGCTCAGTAGTTGTGGCTTGCGGGCTCTAGAACGCAGGCTCAGTAGTTGTGGCGCACGGCTTAGATACTCCGCGGCATGTGGGATCTTCCCAGACCAGGGATTAGACCCGTATCCCCTGCATTGGCACGCGGATTCTTAACCACTGCGTCACCAGGGAAGTACCCCCCAGCATGTTTTGTTCCCCGAACCTTTATATTATTATGCACGTGATGGTTATCTACCATCCTTTCATTCTGGTTAGCCTGCCACTTCCTCCAAGACTGAGATCTCTCCTATATAAAAGAGCTATCTCTCCTGAAGTGTATCCTTTCACTCTCAATCAACTCAAAATTATAAAAGAGGAAAAATGAAAACTAAGGATGTAGCATGGTATTTCCTTCTCCATGTAGAACCCCCATCGAGGATGCTGGCGGTTACCTGAGCGTTTCTCCCGCAGAGGGTACAGAAAGTCCAGGGCTTTTCCTGCATATCTGGAAAGCAGCGAGTCCACCTCGTCCATGGTGAAGCCAATCTCCTGGCCAGTCAGCAGCTGATGCAGAGTCTGCACAGCCATGGTGGCCCAATCCACTTTCATGTTCATGAGCAGCTGCTCCAGCATGAGCAGGGGGTTAGAGGACAAGTGGGAGTAGCTGGCCCGATACTGCTCGGGCAGGGTTAGCAGGACCTGGGTGTGGGGCAGAGCCACAGAGTGAAGAAAACAGGACACGAATTTCAGAAGAAAGCCAAGATTCTTACTGGGAAGGGGGAAGGGTATCTGGGACCAAAGGGCACTTGGCCAGCTACTGAAACTGGCTAGGAGTCTCTTAGGAAGCAAGGCTGGACTCCTCTCTAAATCCTCCAGGTGGTAGGAGTCTCTTAGGAAGCAAGGCTGGACTCCTCTCTAAATCCTCCAGGTGGCAATCAAGAAGAGGGGCTGGCAAACTTTTCCTGTAAAGGTTTAGATAGTAAATATTTTAGGCTCCATAGGCCATAAGGTCTTTGTGGCAACTACCGATTTATAAAACCTGATAAAACCTGGTTTATAAAAGCAGGCAGAGGACTGGATTTGGCCCACAGGTGGTGGTCTCCTGACCCCTGGCCTAGACCAACCAGGCATGGTTGACCCCTGCCTGATCCTTAAAGCTACCATTCTGTCCATTTGAGGCTTTACTAGAATAAGCAATATAAGGTGGACTAAACCTGGCACCTCCAGTGTTCTACAGGTGAATGATGACTCTAAATTCCTCCTAGAGGCTGTTATCCCTGGGCTTGAAATACATTCACTGGCTCTGCTCGTTGCCAATTTTCAAATTCCATTTAGAGGTACAGTACATAGAAAAAAAAAAAAAAAAAAAAAAAAAAAAAAAAAAAAAAAAAGGGTGTATCCTCTTTAGAATCATTTTACATAGTTGAACTCTTAGCAAGTAGGCTAGTGGTCATATTCATGGCTCTCCCAGCACTCATCCTATTCAGGGGGCAGCAAATATGACTTCCAATCAGAATCATCATTAGAGAGCTGGAAGGCCTTGCCTCTCCCCACTCTCTCCTTCACTGGATTACTTTTTCTAGCTTATAATTTCTTCTGTTAGTGTCTCCAAGGTTACACATCAAAGGTAAAGACTTATCTCATTGCCTAGACAATTAACCCTTTTCCTTTAGCACAAGGTAGTTTTCAGGATTTAAAGCAGTAGTTTTAAATCCTCGCATCAGAATCCTTCTGGCAGATAGGCAGGCCCTGTCCCAAGGGGTTCGGTTTCAATTACTCTAGGGTGGAGATTAACTACTGCTATTTTTAGAAGCTCCAGGTGATTCTAATTCATGGTCCGAATTGAGAAGGCTTGGTATAGCAGATGCCAGGGAAAGCATAAAGAGAATTTAAGAGGACAGTAAAATTCACTTTGGAGGCAGAGCAGTAAGAGAACGGTAAGTCCTAAGGGATGTGGTTTAGGGTCAAGATTTTATATACCGCAAGGTCAAGGATGGCAGGTGCCTGGGAGGGCAAGTTCTGAAGTGGGAGATGGGCCAGCAGTCCCTCCCTCAGGCATGCTTTCCCAACACCCCCTTCTCCCCCTGACCTTGGATCCCATGTACAGTGCTTGGATTTCACGGTGTCGGTCAGCGGTCAGTTCTCCATAGAAGTGGGTGGTGAGGTAGTTGGCCAAGAAGTGTGAGGTGGCCAAGCTAGAGTGCCGGTCGAGGGACTGCTCTGTGACCTCAAGGCACATGGTGAGGTCAGGAATTCTTCGCAGGAGCTGTTGCAGGAGGAAGGTAGAGGAAAAAGGTGAGACCGGTATTAGGACTCTTAGAACAGCCTTGTTTTGTTTGAGAACAGAACCTTCAGGTTTAGTCACTGTGGATTAACCCCTTCTCTGCACTCATGTTTTCACCACCCCCAAAGCTTCACAAATGATGGCTTTGACAGGGCCAGAGATCAGCACAGTCTTGGACCCAGCTGTCCAGCTGGCACCTAATGCAGGGCTAGGCACCTATAGGGAAGGTGACTGTAACCAGCTCCTGAAGGACACGGAGGGGCAGATCTGAGACTGCGAATGCTTTGCATGGGATCCAGCAGGAACAGAGCCACCTGATTTGACTAACCTTCTCGTCCCCCGCCAAAAGAAAACTGGGAAGAGTTGGAGGCTTACTTGCAGAGCCTTTTCATGATCGCCTCCTTCTAGAAGGTGGAGAAGATGCTTTTGATGTAGGTTGATTAAATGTTCTCTTGCAATGGGGTATAGGCAGCCCCACTCCTCACACAGCTCATACTCCTGGAAGGAAACACACATGCCTTCAATCCCTTTAAATTCCTGGCCTTGTCGCTCATCCAGCTCTTGCCTGATTTTTCTCAGCAGTCTTGAGTCTGCTAAAGCCCCAGGAAAGTTTGGGAAGTGCTGATGGGAACTTCACTGAGGGATTAAAGTGGGATCATAAAGGACTAGAGTGGCAAGGTAAGTTATGAAAATGATCCAAGTAGGCTGACTGTTCAGGATGTCCTTTTTCTTTTAGCTCTACTATAAAAAAGAAACAGATGACATACAGCTACTGACACTTGGTGTCAGCCCTGGGAAGATACTAAGGAAGTGGGGAAGACCGAAAAGACTGTCCAAAGGAGACAGTGCCTACTCAGCTCTGACTGTTGCCATATGAATGTGCAGGCCCAGTGGTGCCAGACTTTTAAAAATGCCAAAAAAATTTTTTTAATTAAAAAAATTCCCTATTTTACAATGTTGGCAACGAAATCAATATGAAAACTAAAAATTCTACTGAGCAATACTACATGGGCCAAACATGTTGGGGGTGGATTCCATTGATATCCCCCCTTGTTACTCCCCCTTCCAACGCCAAATTTGTGAACTCTGGATTAAAGCTTCCCAGAGCTTTGTCCATGTATTCTAATATGATGGCATCTGGAAGGCCCTCCCCACAACTCTGCCCGGGCCCACCTTCTTCAGGATGCTTCCTTATTTCTTGGGCTGTCTTAGGCACCTGGCTGTGCTCCCCCCTTAGTCTGGGCTTACTTCGGTCACTTGGTATATCGCAATCACCCAGGCATGTGTCTCGCATCGCCCCACCCTGCTCCCTCCTTTCCCAAAATGTGAGCTGTACAAGGGCAAGGACTAAGCTTAATTATCTTTGTTTCAACGCCATCTAGCACAGTGGTAAATAACAGATAGTCAATAAAGGTTTCCCGGATGAATGAACATCTGAATAAATACAGCTCATTTTGAACTATGGTATATCAGCTCCTTAAAGGGTTAAAAAAAAGTCTCCTTAGCACTCAAATGTCCAATAAACACATGAAAAGATAATCAAGGTCATTAGTAATCATGGAAATGTAAATTAACACCATAATGACATACCATCTTATTGGCAAAAAAGTGAAAAGCTGGACAATGCCAAAGTTGCTAAGAAGATGGAAGGAACTGTGAGTGGGAGAATAACAGGGACAGGACGATGGATCTGAAGAGCAATGTTGTAACATCTTAGAAAAGGTGAGGATGCTCATGCCTCATGATCCAGCAATACCAATGCTAGGTATACATTCTGTACCTAGTGTAAACAGTGTAGGAAATCTTGTGTATGAAAACAAGGGTGATAGTACAAAAGTGTCAACTGTACTATCCTCTATTCTTCTATGTATGTTGGTAAATTTCACACACACACAAAAGAGAAAAAAAAAGTGTTATGTAGTTATAGAAAAAAATGTGAACCTTGATACGCAGAAAGAGGTCTACATAACCAGCTAAGGAATAGCAACTGTGGAAAGAGGAGGAAGGGGAATAGTACCCAGGAAAATGGTACCTTGGCTTCTAGAATCACATTCATGACAGTTGATGGGTCCTCGACACAACAGTTCCTCAGGGTCTGCCAGTCACACCACATGGGGGTAGCCTGCAAACCGAGAATCTAAGGAAAGACAGAAAAAGCTATCAAACCTCACTGCAATTACTCTGCTCAGGAATAAGTCATTGGAGTTTCCAGGGATGGGCCATCCCCAGGTCTCTGTCCCAAAGTCAGGCTGTCAGAACCTGCCAGGACAGGGGAGGGATTAGAACGAATGGGACAAAGAGTGTTTGGAGAGGTGAGAGAACCTATCCAGCAAGTATAATCAGGCAGCAAAGGCTGAGTGGGGAGGCCAGGATTGGGGCCTTTCACTTGGAGGACAATTCTCAGAGGCTTCTGTGCTTTGCAGCTTATTCAGTCTTCTGGAGTCACTTGTCCCCTGCCCCTCCAGTTCAAAACTCTAGCTAGGTTATTCTTCTATCCTGAATGCTCTGTGGGATCACCTTTCACGCAGCATTTTAGCTCTGCATGAAAACTGCTATGGAAGAGTGGAAAGAAAAGCTTTTTCACCTGCCACTTTCACTTTCCCTGGTTGGGTTCTGGGCTCTGTTCAGTTCCAAGCACACATGGAAAAATTAGCATATATGTATACTTGTTATGTAGCTGTACCATCGAAATCTGTCTTCCTGAGCCTCTTGATCTTGAATATGACACATATATCCAAGAATTTTTCACTGTGAAACTGTCACTCTCATGCATCCCTTTCAACATGGCTCTTGAAATTTAGCTGAAGTTTAAAACAATCTTTAAAAAAGACATAAGAGATTAAATTCTATAAAAACTCTTGAACAACAAGACAAAATATACATAAAACATACAGAGAGCTCAAATATACAGGGATACCTTGGGGATACTGTGGGTTCAGTTCCAGACCACCACAATAAAGTGAATATTATAATAAAGTGAGTCACACGAATTTTTTGGTTTCCCAGTGCAAATAAAGTTATGTTTACATTATACTGTAGTCTATAAATTGTGCAATAGCCTACAAAAAATGTACATGCCTTAAATATTTTATTGCTAAAAAATTAGTTTTAGCAATTAATTTGAGCATTCATCTAGTTATAATGTTTTTGCAATAGCAACATCAGAGTTCACTGATCACACGGACTTCCCCGGTGGTCCAGTGGTAAAGAATCCGCCTTCCAATGCAGGGGACGTGGGTATGATCCCTGGTCAGGGAACTAAGATCCCACGTGCTGCGGGGCAACTAAGCCTGCGTGCCACAACTACTCAGCTCGTGCGCCTCAACTAGAGCCCACGAGCCTCAAACTACAGAGCCCAGGCCCTCTGGAGCCTGCATGCCACAACTAGAGAAGAAAAAAACCTGCAGGCCACCACTAGAGAGAAGCCCATGCACCACAATGAAGAGCCTGCACGCTGCAACAAAAGATCCTGCGTGCCGCAACTAAGACCTAACGCAGCCAAAAACAAATAAAATAAATAAATAATAACTAAATCTTTAAAAATAGTTTAAAAAAAAGAGTTCACTGATCACAGATCACCATAACAAATATAATAATAATGAAAAAGTTTGAAATACTGTGAGAATTATCAAAACGTGACACATAGACATGAAGTGAGTTAAGTGCTGTTGGAAAAATGGTGCCAAGAGACTTACTTAATGCAGCGTTGCCACAAACCTTCAATTTGTAAAAAACATAGTATCTGCAAAGTGCAATAAAGCAAAATGCAGTAAAAAAAAAAAAGGTGTGCCTGTACATATGAAAAAGGCATTGTGGACTGTAAAGCACCATTCTAGTGTTAATTTTATTATTAATTTTTAATCCTTGTCTGACATGTACATATTTAAAATTATAGGAGTAAATAAAATAGGAAAAAGATAGAGGCTCCCTCGCTCTTCACCTAAGAACGGAAGCCAGATACAGAGCAGAAGCAAGATACAGAGCAAAAGCCAGCCCCAGATTTTCTGTTTCTTAAAATCCGCCATCGGGCTTCCATGGTGGGGCAGTGGTTGAGAGTCCGCCTGCCAAAGCAGGGGACACGGGTTCGTGCCCCGGTCCGGGAAGACCCCACATGCCGCGGAGCGGCTGGGCCCGTGAGCCATGGCCGCTGAGCCTGCACGTACAGAGCCTGTGCTCCGCAAAGGGTGAGGCCACAACAGTGAGAGGCCCGCGTACCGCAAAAAAAAAAAAAAAAAAAAAAAAAAAATCCACCATCACATGAGAATAGGTTGGAGTTGGTAATAAGGTGAGAAGGCTATTTCCTTTCTCTTGATGCCAAATCCTATACCTTCTGATACACCAGCAGCTCTGCCAACTTTCTCTGTAGCTCACACTCCAGCCCATCTTGGAGAGCTGTGTCTGAAATGCAGTAGGCCAGTATCTCCAGGCATGACTCCAGGGGCCACCGGTCCACAAACTGCAGTGTTAGCCGACTTCTCAGAGATGCATCCTTCACAGCAAACAGGTACTGCCAACCTTCTTTGACTACAAGACAAAAAGATGCTCAGCAAGGCTGGCGCTGGAGCTCAAGAGTCCAGGTTACTTCTTAAGAGAAGGGCTTTGTTCAATTTCACAAAACAGGAGCTTGGAGGATCCTGAAGATCCTTCTGACCTGAATTAGTTTTTACACTTGGAACACTATAGGAGAAATACTATACCCTGTTTCTCTTTATGCAAATGTAATCATAGTCATGGGACTTTCTGAAGAGAGGGAGAAAAGGCGAGAGGGAAAAAAAAGGAAAGATTTTCTCCACTCCCCACAGCCCGCCCAGCTCTTGCTCCCCCTAGTGGACGGCTGTAGGTCATTGCTCTCAACTCTGGGTACACATCAAAGTCTCCTGGGGAGCTGTCAAACAGGCCCAGAGTCTGTTTTTATAAATAAAGTTTTATTAGAATACAGCCACGCTCACTTGTTTATGTATTGTCTATGGCTGTTTTCATGCTATGATGGCAGAGCCAAGTAGTTGCAACCGAGCCTGTATAGCCTACAAAGCCCTTTACAGAAAAACTTTCCTGACCCCTACTTTAAAGCAAACACTTGCCTGAACCCTATCATGGGCTTCTGGAAACGGGGCTCTGATATTTGTAGTTTTTAGAATTTCACAACGATTCTGCCATGCAGGGTTGAGAATACTGGTTATGAGTGCCTGTCCTAAAGTTCGATGGAGTTGGGTTCTAAGCTCTGCTCTACCACTGACTATCCTGGGCAGTTTCCTACCCTCTGAGCCTCGTTCGCCTCTCAGTATCATGAGATTATGGTGGCACCTTTCTCTAGAGTTACTGTGAGCATCAGATGCGGTGATCCACTCAGTGAATGCCCAATACTATTACCACTGGTGAAGGAGGGAGGCACGGCTTTCTGCTCACCACCTGCCGCAGCACAGCTCAGGACCGCATCCTGTATGCTGCTCAAGTCGTCCACATCTCGCCCGTACACTTCAGTGAGCTGAAGGGCCCGGTGCCAATCTCTGGCCACCAGGGCTTCCTCGAAGGCCTTGGTGAGCACATCCAGGGCTATGGGAGAATGCAGGCCCAGGAGGACGGTAGAGAGACTGGCCCGGCCGCAGAGACTCGCTGCCAGACTCTGCCCCTGCATGGAGGACCCTCGTATGGGCTCCCAGGCAGCTAGGAGGGAGGCCTCAAGCATAGGGAACTGTTCCAGGAGGCGCTCACACTCCTGGGCTACCTGCTCTGCAGTCAGAGGCACCTCCCTGCGGCCACGAAGCTCCTTCCAAGACAAGCTGGGCTTGGTGATCTTTGACCCCTGGGAAGCCCCCAGGCAGGCCACGGTAGCCAGCAGCTTTGAGCGGGACTTAAGGAAGGCCAAGGCAGAAGAGGTGAGGGCTGGGCCTGATGAATCCCTCGGGGAGGAGGGGGGCTTTCTCTCCAGCGTGGGATTCTCAGTTGGCTTTGAGGAGCTCAGTGTAGAAAGTGGGAGGTCCTCCAGGCAGTGGGAGGTATGCAGCTGGGTCAGAATGCCCAGCTGGGTCAGAAGGGATGATGTCTGCTGGCTCTGACGGGAAGAGCAAAGGGCAAGGGGCTCACAGCAGCAGTTGACAATGACCTGTGGCACACTCAGGCTGAGACCCTCTCGGGCCAGAAGGGCTGCCAGCCTGGAGGGAGAGAAGCAGAGGGCATGTAAGGCCTCAGTGCCTGGGCACCATCACCCAATCTCAGAATTTCTTTATGTGTAAACAAGCAAATGTAAATGTAGACTCTCTAATTGTTCCCCCTACCCCCTCTCTTTTTAACTCAAAAGGCAGCCTATTAGACTCAATTCTCTGCCCCTTGCTTTTTTACTTAATAACAAATCTGGGAGATCTGTCCATAGCCCTCTACAGAGAGGCCCCTCATTCTTTTTTTACAGCTACATAGCGTTCCATTATGTGGAAGAAACTGAATTTAACTAGTCTCCTATTAGCGGACAATGGCTATGCCATACAAAGCTATAATAAAATGACTTGGTACATACAGCATTTTTTTTTTTTTTTCTTTTGCAGTACGTGGGCCTCTCACTGTTGTGGCCTCTCCCATTGCGGAGCACAGGCTCCGGACGCACAGGCTCAGCGGCCATGGCTCACGGGCCCAGCCGCTCCGCGGCATGTGGGATCCTCCCAGACCGGGGCACGAACCCGTGTCCCCTGCATCGGCAGGTGGACTCTCAACCACTGCGCCACCAGGGAAGCCCATACAGCATTTTTCATACTTATAACAAAGGATAAATTCCCCAAGGTGGACTGTTAGGTCAAAAATGTGGTTTGTCATTTTAGTGGATATGAACAAACCGCCTTCCCACAGGGGCTGTACTAATTTATATCCTGCTGGCAATCTGTGAGAATGCTTGTTTTCCTACAGCCTCGCCAACTAATGTGTTATCAAAGTTTTGGATTTTTGCCTACTCATAAGTGAAGAGTCCCCTTAATTTTATACTTGTAATATAAACGTTAGAGGTGGAGAGAGAGAAAGAAACGAGGCATACTGAATTCTAATGTAGCTTGTATAAGAGTAAATGCGAATTAAGGGAAAAGTCTGGAAGAAATCTCAACTTCCTGTATTGAACTCAAACACAGCCCCACTGAGCCCTTGGTTTCCTTGATGAACAATTAGGAAGGCCCAGGCCTGGCTCCTACCTCTCTGGGGGAACTTGTCGCTCAAGCAGGAGGTGTGACACCAGTTGGGAAGAGCTCTGTTGCAGGAGAACAAAGGGGTTTCCCACCTTGACCTCCATGTGATCTGCAGAAGTAAAGAAAGTGATTTTTGCACCACTGATTGCAACATTCAGAGTGCTGTTTTCCAGACTCAATAAAAAAGTAGTATCAAAACTACATGGAAAGCCCTTCTGTTGATATTTTTCTAGGTAAAAGGTATTCCTGACATGATGCTGACCACAGGTTTATCCACGCCTTACCACTGTTCTAAAGACTTCCAACTACAGACAGACTTCAGTGAGCAGGCCTAGCCACAGACAGCCCAGACTGCTCCTTCGATATGACTGAAGTGTAGGTAATCCTCGCTCTGCGGACTTGAGTAAGAATCTGGCACTCGACTCAGAGACTTGATTCCCCTGGTGGGTCCTCATATCCACAATAGATCGAAGATCTGGGAGAGGTAGTTTTGAGTCATTAATGCCATCAAAATGTATTGAATACTCTCATGTGCTGTACCATTGTACGAGGCATCAAGGAGACAAAGGCGAATAAAACACAGAGGTGAATAAGAGAGGACCTCATACGTAGTGTCCTCGGCTACTGCTGTACCCAGAACCTCTTCAGTGTGCGCCTTCCTCTTCCTTGCCCCTAAACACTTGTGGGCCAGTCCTGACTCTATTTTCTTTCTTGCTACTTACCAGGCTCAGAGCTCAAACTCCGCAGGAGAACAGCAGCCAGGGTGCTGCAGTACCTGAAGAAGGTGCCCATGTAGTCAGTCTGCCTGCCGCCTGCTGGCATCTGTTTGCCCAGGTTCTTCTGGAGGAGCTGAGTCTGGATATACACAGGGTGGGCCTCTGCCTCCAGAGCTTTCTCGGCCACCTGCTCCACCAGGGAGGTGAGTGGAGTACTCCTGGGCTCTGGGAGGAGTTATGAAAGGAGAAAGCATGTAGTGTTGAGTCTGTGCATCTGGCTTTGGGTCAGTTTCCAAACAATATGGGAACTGGGCCTCTGTACACTGCATGGGACATCCTACAGCCTGGCTGCTACGCTGACAAGGCAGTTATAAAATCCTAAGTTGGTTGCTTATACAAGTGATTCTCAGCCAGGAAGAGCTTTGAGTCTGGAGAAATCAGGGTGGAGAGTTCCATTTTCACCCATGTCTCGGGTGGAACAGCTCTGTGAAGCTCACAGCACTCTTCTGCGGAAGGGTTAATCAACGTTTACGGGGTCCCTTCTGGGTATATCTCTCATAAGGAATGAGAAAAATGTGCCAGCTAATGAAGTGCTAAGCAGCCCTTCACTTAGGAGGTGGGGAAACAGGTGGAATTAGTTACGAGACAGGCCCTGGTTAACTAGAGGGCTGGTAGGGCCCACTTCTGAGTCCTCAGCCTCTGCTCCAAAGT